AAAGACAACGCTCTATCAGGGTGCCTTTTAACAGCGAAATCCAAGAATCCCAAAACTTGCACTCCAATTACCCAAAAAGACGCAAGTTCGGGTACTTGGTCTTTCTCTAGCTAGGAGCAGTTTGCCATATTGATTTCGCTATGAAGAGTCTATAATGAGTCTCAGAAACTTGAAACATGGATGAATGAGGATGTGCGCCAGGATCCCCTAAACTTGACCGTTTAAGAAACTCTACACCCCAAACCCTAAGCCCTACACTCCAAACCCCTAAACCCCTACACCCCTAAACCCCTAAACCCTAAACCCCTAAACGCCTAAACCCTAAACCCCTAAACCCTAAACCCCTAAACCCCTAAACCCCAGCAGAACACCACGCCTCCTAAACCCTAAACCCTAAAGGCCCTAAAGCCTAGGATCTGGCCTCGATATCTTTGTTCGGGATGTGCCCGGTGTAGCCCGGAATCGCTGCGGTGGCGAGGACCGTCTGCCTCTCCCAAGAACTTACCTTTAAATACTCGGTTTAGGGTTTAGGGGTTCCGGGTTTAGGAAAGCCGAAACCCTCCCCCCAGAGAGCCCATGACCCTCTTAGGAGCCCTAAACCCTAGACCCTAAACCTTAAACCCCTACACCCTAAACCCCTAAACCCTAAACCCCGAGCCCCCCTAAAGGGCCTTTTCAACTTTCCAGCGCCGTTTTTCAGCTCCGGGCTTCAGGCCGTACTTTAGGGTTTAGGGTTTAGGGGTTTAGGGTTTAGGGTTTAGGACCCCTCAACACTACATCCCTAATCCGAAATCCTAAACCCCGAAACACAAAATCCAACTTCATAAACCCTTAAAACCTGTGCCCTAAATCCTTGAAGTAGCGAATCGAAGCCTCGGTGTGGATGCGGAGGACGCCGACGACTGTGCTGAAATCGTCGGGACCTGGGCCACTTCGAAAGGTTTAGGCTATCCTAAAGGTTAGGTTAGGAGTTGGGGCTCGGTATGGATTAGGGGGACCCTTCTTGCATGTAGACCCTCTCAATAAGCTCCCTTTTAGGAGAGCCATAAGCAGGGTTAAGAAGGGTCGCCTTTAAGGGGCTCCCTAGTACTACCTAGGAATTACCCCTGGCGAACTCACAAAGCATATCCTCCGCTGAGCTGTCGACTCCACTTTCACTGGCATCGCCCAGGCGCCGGCAGTCCTCCGCAACAGAGTCAGCGACGCTAAGCACTGTAGAGTTCTAGGTGTGTGTGTGTGTACATATGTGTAGGCAGACATATCAACGTATGCGTGTACATATATATATATATATATATGTGTGTGTGTGTGTGTATGTGTGTAATTCTGTATGTATGCATGTATGTACGTATGGATGGATGGATGGATGGATGGATGGATGTATACACGCACATATGCAAAACCATCTTGATCCGAATACATACCCCTTCATGGATATGCGGAGTATACATATTGTGTGCATGCATGAACATGGATATGTTCAGAATATATATATATATATATATGTATATATGTATATATATATATATATATGTAGATGTGCTTGTGTGTGCGTGTTCGCATGTGTATATACATATACAGTTATAAACAAAGGTATACATACATATGTAAACATAGGTGTGTATAGACCTACCAACCTATAATATTTATGCATATGTGTATGTATATATACATACCCCTACTGTACTGTAGCACCCAGTGGACTGACTCAAGCATCGTTAGGTTCCATCCCTACGCCCTACCCTCCGTGGCCGCCTGTCAGGCCCGAAACCATAAGCTTAACTAGGGTTTAGGGCAGTTCAGGGTTTAATATAGGGGCCTGACAAACCATTGCAACAGGATTTTCGGGTGTGCTACAATATAAGTAGGACCAGGAAGGATTCCGAAATTTACTCGGACCCTTGCCGTTCAGGGTCCTACACCCAAGGCCCTGAACTGGACATCCTCATGGCTAAATCCAAAACCCGGAAATCGGAACCCTAAACCCTCGATCCCTAAAGGGTGGGCTGGAATGGTGAAGCAGAAGAGAACCGCTGCAGCACCTATAATAAGGGTGGCAGCAAGTTTGAATTAACGTGTTTCGTGCCCTATATGATGATTACGCACTTGGACACTATCAGGGTGAGGCTTCTAGAAGCAGCTTAGCATAGCGTAGCGTAGCGTAGCATAGCATAGCATAGCATAGCATAGCATAGCATAGCATAGCACAGCACAGCACAGCACAGCACAGCATAGCATAGCCAGACTCCATGCCATGCTCGTAAAAAACCCTGGAATACCAGAGCTCCGAACACTCGAAACGACGATTCTTAAAATGCTGCATGCTGAACCCCAGATCCGAACTCCTAAACCCACTATGGCTTCAGGATGTTCGGATCTGGCGCCATTCCCTGCCCCGGGTGTAGGGGCCTCAATGATGAAGATGTGGTTTTAGGAGGGTAGATTCGACGATAAACGAACCCTAAGGAACCCTATTCTACGTGCCAAAGCTCCTTTCTTGATCTCTAGGCCCTCCCACATCGGAAAACTGAGAGGAAAGCACACACCATCCATCCAGCAACTCCTCGAACCCTGCACCATGAGACGCCAAACCCACTGCTGATGATAACGATGATTTAACAACAGGGTCGTTATATCTGGTGATATAGTTATTTACACTATGGTTTATGATGTCTGTAAAGGTGACGTAGGTGACAATGAAGACGAAACTAGACATGTGGAACAAACGAGAGCAACATGGCGATGACTATGATACAGAAATCCTAAGGGTCCAAGTACCCATTATTGAAGGACTTTGGGGCCCTTTTTGGGGTACCTAAAGCCATAAATAAGGACTATTATTTAAGGACTTTGGGGCCTTTTGGGGTACCTAAAACCATAAATAAGGACTACTTGGACCCTTAGGGAAAATGGTGCGGTGTGGGATTCTGCGTTGGCCGCCTTTTGGTCTGTGATGGTGGCAGCCCGACGAAAAGCGGAGTGCGCTTAAGCGCGCGCGAGGAGACAAAAGGTCATGGAGACGAACAGCTGCCTGCTGGGAGCGCTTTCGGTCCCGGCATCGCCAACTGAGGGGGAGTGAAGTAGTGCATGACTCAGCTGGTGCCGTGGCCTTGCTGGTAATTCGTGAGGT